CCGTCTGGTCCCAACTCCCTGTCACCATCACATTCACTTCAGGGCAGTATTCAACACATCTGATAGGGGCATCATGGGTTCCAACGAGATTTTCTACAGGGGGAGAAAGAAAAAAATCACCCAGCTTTACTACCTCCACTAAGCAAAGATTCCTCAAGTGAACAATAGAAGGAAACATTGATTAAACTATAATGAATCGGCTTCCACCAACTCAATGAAAATGTCTGCATATAGAAAAATTTCTACATGACTATCAATAGTCATCCATTCCTCTCTGTTCACCTTACAATGCATGGTTTAATTCAGTAAAATGGTACATACCAAAGGCTGACTTGAATTTCACATTACATTAAATTGGTGGCATATCTGACTTTTTTTCCCTCATCTGATTCTAGATTCCTTAAAATCAGAAACCTTGTTGAACACCATAGTTCCGACTTTATCTACTGCAGGTTCTGACACACGGTAGGTACTCAAATACCTGCTGAATGAAAGAATGAGTAGAGAACTCTGGTCTCCTGGATCTGGATAAAACTTACTGCATTAAAGCCAACATTTATAAGAAACTTATTTACGTGGTAACAGGATATCTGAAAGCTGGGGGATAAGGCAGGCAGGGAGTCTTATGATTAGTCCACTTGGTTTTCATGGTGGGTCAAATTTCCAACAGACAATTTCTTTCCTTTCAATTTCAACTCTTCACACTATCGCATCCATTCATTCAACGAACATCTACTAAATGTCAAGTATGTGCCAAATCTATGCCACATGCTAAGGATACAACAAAGAAAAATATGTGATCCTGATCCTCAAACAGGACAACTACCTATTTAAAAAATGTATCATTTAAACAAGAAAAAAAATGACCTCATGAAGTTCAGCAATGACCTCCTGAGAATAAACAGCTAATTCCCTTAACTATGGTCTCCATATCAAAAATCTTTGTATTTGTGTTTTTTCCCCTAAGTTTTCCAACAAATAGGACCCAAACCTGCAAGCTAACTTACTATATAGAATAATCTAACAAAACCAAATAGTTTTGCAGTTCTAAGTTACATGACAAAGTGACTTTCATGAAATAACCTCTTCTGAGTCTTTTTTTTTTTTTTAACAAAATATCGTGCTCATCTTCTTTGCATTCTCCCATCGTCCCGCTAATGCTCAGCTAGTCACCTCTGTGCCGTGCCACCTGCTTCAAGGACATCTATACCTAATGTATGCACATACAAAAATAATGTTTTTAATGCTCCAAGAGCTCTGTACATTTGAGTTCCATTCCATTTCTGCTCTGTTCCAAAGTCACCATAAAAAATTGGTGAAGTCATTTCCTATCCAGGCCTCTAAGAAACTAACTTAAAAAAAATGTAATCTTATTATTCATTCAATAAATGTAACTGAAGCATATTCTATGCTAAATTATCACACAAGCAGAATTAACATAGTAGCTGGACAGGACTGGCTATTTTATAATATCAGATTTTTAAAGACCTATCATCCTTCAGTCTGAACTAAATAAGCTTCTGAAAAGAGAACACTCAAACATCAGCACTGTCCTGGAAAATCTTAATGAACAGCAGACTACTATGGGGTCCAGTCCACTTCTGAGGACAGGTACAGGTCAAATACTTAAGGATAACTTCATGTAAACACTTAAGAGTGGTGATCCTAATGGAACGAATTTACTGAGAAAGTACATGCATATTTTGTGATCAGTAATTTAATGGTTATCATTTAAACAAAAAAGTCTTAAATTGAAGCTACTATTACTTGTAAACAACTTGGGAACTAAGCAATTCAGGAACCACTCTTCCTAAATAAACATTTACACTTTAGTCCCCTAGCTGAGAAAACAACAAACTGATAAAAATGTGCCCATATTACCTTGATCAGTGTTCAAATCATGCATTTTCAATTGATGGTCTAATCCCCCACTCCAAGCATGTGTTGGATCCTACAAAATAAAAGTTTCAAGTCATTCAAAAGTTATAGACGTTTACTAAGTGTTTCAAAATTCCTGTTTCTACAGCCAACTGTTCACTTTATGCTCAGGATGATGTACACTGGGCTCTCACACACACAAAATAGAGCAAATAAGTGGTCACCAAAATAACATCAGCAAAGTAAGGAAGGACTGTTCACCACACTGGCTGAGAGCACACAGGCATTCCTATTTCCTAGGGAAAACAAAAAACCTTCCTTTTGATAAGGCAACCAAATTTTATTGTCTTGTAAATTTCAAATACAAATGTCATATATCCACAAAGTTTGCAGGGTTACTCTTTTTGAAAGAGAAGACCGTTTCCGCCGTCTGCATAACCCCAACCCCCCAAAAACCAGTATTTGGCTCAAGACAAGTGTTCAGGAAAATCTTAAGAGCTAGCCAAATAACTACCGACAGAAGCTTCTACCCGACACTGGTAGAAAGACGGTATCAGCACAGGATATCCTAAAACAAAGGGGGCAGGTGCGCGAACTGAGGACACCTACATAGAAGGCGCAGTCCAGGACGGCGCCGGTGTGCTGGTACTTGAGGCGCATGGAGTTGGCCGGCACATCGTAGAGGCGCACCGACGTGTCCCAG